AAATATTTAGGAGTTGCAATTAGTGAAAAAATAAACAGAAATGCTTAAAAAGTGTTTTATTTTGTGCCGATGTTTCGGCTTAAAATTAGGACTTGTTGAGCGCTCTTACATCTACAAAGTGTGTAAATAAAGGAGATGTCTAGAAGAAACGTGGTTTTTCTTAGACTTCTTCGAAGTTGGTTAGTTAATGGCCTTATATTTGAAGGAAAGTTGATTTTTTTTTTCGGGATGACCAAGGGGAATACAGGGAGAAATATAAATAAGCAGATTTTTCATATTGCTTTATAGATGAAATTAATAAATGTGTAAGGATTGATGGCGGGATGGAAGAGCAACCAGATAACCGAAGTTAAAGAAGATAAAAGCACGAGTTGAATTCCCTATACCCCTGGTGTCTTTTAACTCTGGTATTAATTTCCCTTTCTCTCTGGTCCAGGAAAACCTCGTATAAGGTGAGGAAGGGGAGAACAAAAAAAAATATGGGCAAGAGTCCATAATTGGTGCATTCATTCTAATGTAGTTAAAGTAATTTATATATAAAAAACATTACTCAGAGCGACATTGAAAACATTCTATGTAGGCACTTAGCGAGAGTAGGAGCTCTGATGAACCCCAGAAACTTAGTCATAAAATAAAATAAAAACATTTTGTTGGTGTTTTTCACTAACTGCAATCTCCACCTAAATTTTCAACCATATTATCAACAGTCAAGTATTTATTAACCATTTAATGAAATTTAATTTAAAAAGAGTGGTCTTTTGAATTATTTTAAGCTCTACACTTTTTTTGGTTAAATAGTCTGTACAACCCCTTCATAAAACCATAAAATCACCCGACTTCTAGTAAAAAATATATTTTGAACAAATAAATATAAATTATTTGCACTATATATTTTTAATTTAACAAGTAAGAAGTAAATGTAAATTGTTTCCAATTTAGATTCCTATTAAAAATTTATTTTCCATTCAATAATATAAAATTTGTTTCACAATATTACTCACTTCTTCTTCGGTGCATACTATTTATTTTCAAGTTAATTTATTACTAGCCATATTTACACCAATTTTTAAAAAAATTTGTCACTTATGACTACTCATCACAATGACGACGTTTCGGCTCGTCGAGCCATTTTCAAGTCTAAAATACCCATCATGTACCTCTCCTTTTCACTTATGCGAATCGCAAGCGTCTACTCATAATAAAATTACTTATTATTGTCATGTTCACCTTGTTTCTGAGTCACCCACATGTCATCCATCTCATTTCTATTCAGTGACTGTCAGTGTGTGTCATTGAGTGACACAGTCATTAAGGGACAACATTTTTTAAAAATTGGTGTAAATATGGCTAATAATAAATTAACTTGAAAATAAAATTTGTTGTTATTAACAACATAGCGCACTCGATCAATCTCCACTGGCTTTAGTACTAGTACTACGAGATTCATAGAGTAGTACAGGAATCTCTTGGAGTCGTGCTTTTTCCTTTACAGCAGGAGAGACAAGAGGGTATTTGGAGTTGTCTTGGCCCATTTTAAATAGTGTATATTGGTGAGTTATTTTAATTTTGCTTTACTTATATTTAAGTTTATTTTAGTTTTATTTATTATACACAATTTTAGGATGTCGATTCGCTCCTGCTTTATTATTTTATATTTTTTGTAAATATGGTATGAATGTATTATTTCTTCAATATAACCAATATTCACATTGGGACAGAATTTTGTAATATTCAATAAAAAAAACTGTATTATTAACAACAGCTGTTAATAGTTATTAAGGTATGACTGTGTTTTTATGTTGTTTTTTTTAATTTACTTATCATTAGGTTATTTTATCATATATTGTACATAGTTTCTGATTATTATTTTACTTTTTTTACTTTTATATTTTCTGCATATGTATAGTCTGAATGTGTTCATATATCACTATAATTATTGCCAACGTGACAAATTATTATATTTCTAAAGAAAGGATATGGTCCGGGGTGGAGGTCATAAATAGGCTAAATAATGGAAAAATTATTTTATTAAAAACAAACGTTCCGACCCGACTTTGCAAGTCTTCTTCAGGGAGGTTTGTTCAGCTAAGATTTTCACTTAAAACTGATTTGTTGAGTTCTGAGTGAAACTCCTAGCTGAACTCACCACCCTGAAGAAGACCTGCAAAGTAGGATCGAAACGTTGGCTTTTAATAAAATAGTTTTGCCACTATTTAGCTATTTATGACCGCCACCAGAACCATCTCCTTCCTTTATAATTCAACGGTCAACTATTAAATATTCAATATTATATTTCTAAATTGATAAATAAAAAAAAAAATAGTTTTTAGCTTTGCCACAATCTTTATTATCTTCAACATTTTTTTTTATGTATTCGTAGTTCTGAAACCTAATACTCTTATCTTGATCACAACTAAACGAATTTCTGCTCGAATATATTGACAAATAAGTCTTAACCTTAACAGAGTGGTTTCTTCTGACATCTATGGGAACGTAACCGAACTATTTTGATTAGAAAATTCCTGCTTTTAAGCAAGTTAATTGGAAAATATTCATAAAAAGGCGGTAAAGAGTTAAATGACCGAATATCTGAAGATGTAGTTGTCCGCTATTAGAAAGTTTAACCATCTATCATTTAATATAGCTAATATAGGCCGGTATTGGGGCGAGGAGGGGAGGGAGAGAGGTTAGGCAGTTATATATAGCCAGGTAACAGTCCAACCGAATCACCTGAATTATTGCTGCATAATTCCCCCATCAGTACGGGCCTGCAAACGAAACCCTGTATTTCCTTCTATATTCCTCGGCTCATTTAATTTTATTTATAATATGTCCTTTTTCACCCAACTCGCCGCAAGGATACCATTTGATATCCTTACGTATAAGGTCCTTCGGGAGCGTTCCTGGTAATAGCGGGATAATTTTAAAGATCAGCTGTGTTAAGAAATTTATCTAACTGAAGAAGCATGATGAATTCTAACAACTAATCTACTGGAAAATTGTCTGAAGGCGATTGATGTTAAGCATAGTTTTAAATCTTAAATAATGATCTCGTAGTTTTATAGCAAAAAGTCACTAAGTATATATTTAAATCACAAACATATTACGTACAAAGGGCCCGAGGACGAATTGTAATAACTATCGAGAAATATCACTCCTTCCGGTATATTATAAAATATTCACTTTAATCTTAACCAGTCGAATCACGGAATACGCCGGAGAAATTATCGGAGACTACCAATGCGGATTTAGACGGAATCGTTCGACTATTGATCAAATATTAGAGAAAAAATTAGAGTACAACGGTATTGTTCTTCAGCTGTATATCGATTTCAAAAAGGCTTACGATTCTGTTGACCACCAAAAAGGTATAATATACTAATATAAGCAGGGGATTCCAAAAAAAAAAAACTAGTAAATCTAGTCAGGATGTGCTTGACAGAAACACTCAATAAACTGTAAGGTATTAGAAATTGAAGAAGAGATTAAGGTTAGACTGAAGGCGGGAAATGCTTGTCATTTTTCTGCGACAAAACTACTTTGCTCGCGCCTCTTGTTCCGGAACTTAAAAATTAGAATCTATAAAACCATTATTTTATCTACAGTTAATTATGGATGCGAAACTTGGCAGCTTATATTAAGGGATTAGCAGCGTCTTTAGGTTTTTGAAAATAAAGTATTGCGCTGAATATTCGGACCGAAGAAGGATGAGTTAACCGGAGAGTTCAGATGGTTACACAACGCCAATTGCGTTAATTGTATCCGGGTAATATAATCGAGGTAATTTCATCGCGGCGAATGAAATAGGCTTGTAAAATTGTTGGGCTTATTAACGAGAGAATTTCTAAAAGTTTAATATTTTCTGTACCGAATGGTAAACGTCCAAGGGGTAGACCGAATTGAAGGCTGGTTTGGACGGCGAACGGTGGACGGAGGTGTGTAATAAGCGGTTTGTGGTGTCGGCATCGAACCTTCGGGTTCCCTAAGCCTTTTATTATTATTAATATTATTACGTATTACGAACACATACACATTACGTACTAAACTTTTGATAAAGGTTTTGTGAACTTTAAGGTTATTTATCAATAAAAAGAAAAACTCAATAAGTGCACTATGTTATTACAAACCCTTTTATATATCAAATATAGTTACAACCAATTACAACAAAATAGGAGTTTCCATTAATAATGGATTTCCTTTAACTAGAATGGTTGGATATATTCTCTTTCGTTATGCCAGGTTCTTATCGTCTTCTTCTGCCCATAGTTTTCCATATGTGGACTTCTTCGGGTAGTCTTCCTTCAGGCATTCTTTTCAAATGTTCATACCACTCCAGGATTTTTTTTCTCAATATATTACAGAATGATTGAAGAGAAGAATGGTCGGGATGATCAGTCAAATTAAAATGGCAAACATAAATAAAATTATACAGTCAACCGTAAACCTACAATTATGACTCTTCCAGAATAGTTCTTTTAGCCTCTATATTTTCTCTGATGTGCGTATTACTCACTTTATCCATTCTGAATATTCCCGCCACACGTCTCCAGTAGTCCATTTCTGTGACTAGGAGTTTTTTGCTTTTTAAGGTTCAAGTTTCTGATCCATATGTTATCATACTCAGTACTATATTATTTTAGATTTTTTTTTTTTTTTTGTTATGTGGATAATTTTCTGGTTCCATAATACCGAGCTGCAATGGAAGAGTCATGTGTGCCTAAGTATTAGTTGATCCAATTGCAATATAGAGCGAAAATGACCAAATCAACAAGGAAGCTTATTATTTACATTTAAATTCCAATCTGCTTACTAGTGCTTTCACCCTAACTTATTTGCATTTTATTTTGTCATTTTTTAACCAATATACTATGCGAATTATGCACACGGGTCAGCTATTTGTTAATAATAATATCAACTGAGAGCAGTCCTTGAGGTACACCTTTTATATTAATCGAGCGACTAATCCTAGCAGGGAACCCCGGTAAATGACAAAGAGATAGTCAGCCGCAGAAACTAGATATATCCGCAATGACTGGGAGGGGAGGAGGTGCAGGTTGGGTGGCCCCCCACCGATAATTGTAATTTATAGCCACGCTGAGGGGTGCGAACCCTTCAACCCTCTCCGCTCTTTTAACTCTCGCCACCTCGCTCTGAGGGTCGTTGGCTGGGGAGACCGTAGGTTCTTTGAAGGGTGCTTTATACTCGGCAGGATCATGGCTAATTATGCAAAAAACCGAAGCCTTTAAAAAATAAAAATAAAATAGAAAAATCTCATTGATACTTATTTCTGTCAATATTTTTCAAAATTATAATTTGTGTTATTACGATTAACACTATATACAAGTTAGAGGGAAATTTTTATAGAAGAGGTAGCAGACTTTAAGATCTCAAAAAAAAAAAAAAAACATATAAACAATGGCCCAATATTTGGAAGAAAAATAGGAAATCCAAGTGTTGAGGTTTTTTATGTGTCATACTTTTTGTTGAATAGGAATCGATAACTAAAGGAATATTTCATTTAAGTAATTATTAATTCCTTTACTGTAAACTGGAAAAAAATTCCATAAAATGCAAATAGAGTTTTTCAATTTTTTTAATTGAAATTTACAACTGTATAATGATAAATACAACTAGTAAATATGAAATAAGTAACTTTACATGTAAAACATGAAGAGAAACTACCCATTGGTAGCACTCCAATTATATTTCTATATTAGAAGGTACCGAGGCCATCTTCTTTTCAGACACCTCGGAGGGTTATCAGGAATAGAAGAGGAAGCAAGGTTGGAAACAAGAGGGTTTGAATGGTTCAGAATTTTATTTTGGAAGGATAGGTATCTGGATTGAGCTGATTCGGAAACATATGGTACATTAAGGTCTTTACGGGTGATTTTATTTGTGGCAAAGTAGGGAGCATTGAGGATTTTACGAAGGATTTTGTATTGTAGGGATTGGATACGAGAGGACTTTGATGGTTTAGTGGAGCCCTAAAGCTCGATCCCGTAAGTCCAAATAGGCCTTATTATAGTAATATATATGACAATTATTAATTACTTATCCAACAAATGTGGTACCTATCTAACAAAAAAATATGACTTATATAAAAAAATACAACACTTGGATTTCCAACTTTCTCGCTGAAAATTGGCCCATTTTTTATATGTACTTTTTTGTAGCTCTTTGGGTCTGATATAGTCATTTTTCCTCTACTTATAGGACACCATGTTTAATGCGGATATTATAAATATAATACAGAATCGTTTTCAGGAGCGAGTGATTTTTATGAATGAAGTATCAAAAGAAAGTGAATTTCATTGAGAAATGTTAAAAATTAAATCTTAAAAAGTAAAACCGTACCTTCAAACATTTAGGAGTTTTCAAAAGTCTACAGATCGAGACGAGATAAATTGTTTAAATATTTCGGCTTGGGTATGGAGCTCTAAGATGAACTGTTTTTGAGATAACGCATGGGTCCAAACTTATTCAAGCGATAATGAATCTTGACGCCACGGTTGCCATGGATATCTTATCATATTAAAATTATAATGCTCTGTATATTGTTTGTATTTATAACGACAGCCACAATGCTAAAGTCTGTAAATACAATTTAATCAGAATGTGCTGTTTCGAGCTTTGCCTTGCACATATTCCTAAAAATAAACTAAAAACGTTATCTAGAAAATTCCATCTTTGTCTTAAGCTTGCAATAAAAATTGAACTGAAAATCTACCACATGAGCAATTTATTTGGTCTTATATAATTTTTTGTGTTGCTCCTATAGGTTACAGGATTTTGCAGCTTGGCTGTCGATATATTATTTATCAATTTTATTATTTTTTTATTTTGTTGGAGGGCCAAATTTATTTTTCATCAAATTAAATGATTGAGGACTTATTTTGAAATATATTTTCTCCTACAGATCTGAAAAATAAATACATCCCACAAGAATGTTTTCCAATCCAACACTAATTTGATGTATTGAACTTTTAATTAAATCTTCCGAATTTTCAAGAGCATTTATAATTAATATAATTTACAATTTCGAGGAAAATCACTTTATTTGACCCTTACACCTCCACTCCATGCTTCAATTCATTTTGAATTCCTCGACGACGTTTGAGGTAATTTTGCCTTTTTTCATGTTGAAATATTTATCTATAATATAATAATACAATTATTACAAACATATATGTAAAAAATATAACAGCACATAAATAGCAATCAATGAAAATCCCAAAAATTCAAATTAATGAATAAAATGTCTACTAACATCATTATCCTATCATCTATGCAATATTATTTTTTATATAGTTAATGTAATTTTTTTCTTTTTTCTTCTCCTCACATTCTTATAATTACGAATTTGATAACTTATTCATGAAAATTCAATTAAAAAATAAATATATAAATACTGAACGTACAAGACGTCTCAAATAAGAAATATTTTTAAATTTTATAATATTTTCCGAGGTAGGTACTTCTCCATATCCTATATCATAAAATTATGAAAAAACATTTTTTTTTTTTATTGAAGAAGAAGAAAATTTTTAAATTTTCAATATAATACGTTTTATTTGTAAGAGGATACATTTTCAACTTTTGTCATTTAAGCTTTGTAAAATTATTTCAATGAGGATATGATGTACATAGTATTAATACTACTTAATTTTATATAATTATTATCAGTATTCATTCATACAAAAGGGAAACAAATATAAACAACTAAAATAAAGAAACAAAATATATATAGAAACAAACAAAATATAGATTGAAGACGTGTAAAATAAAATAAATCACCAGCCATATCTATATTCAATATTTACACACACACACACACACACACACACACACACACACACACACACACACACAGAGCATTCCTAACCAAAGCCCTCTGTATAGGGAAGGCGTAGCACAACTCCGAGAGATCCCAGTGCTTTTCTCCTAACCACGTCACCGGTAAAACAAACAAATAATTAATGAGATAGAGATATGATTTACTATAGAAAAAAGTGTTACATTTTCTAAAAAAACAAAACAAAATTAAATGTCCATTATAAACGCATTGATTGTTTACAATATATATTTTTGTAGATGTTTATCTTAAAAGATTACACAATGAGAAATAGAAATAGAAAATAACTTTATTCTGGGACAAAGTCCCTTTTGAATACCAAAATATTACACAGTTAAAAAAGACTACATCTGGCCAAAATAAAACAATTATAAGAAAAAAAGAAAGTAAAGAAAATATTAGTTAAACGAGCTATATAAAACAAAAAAAAATCTATATACAAAACACTTGAAACTATGTAGAGTAGGAAAAATTATAATTATACACTTTTGAGAAATAAAATAATAAAAAAATACATTGAGTTCTTCTTTAAAATAAGCTGTGTTTCTGCTAACAAAGGAAGGACAAATCAGACAATATCAAATGTCAGAGTATTTAAATAATGAATAATATCTAAACACATCATTATCTTATTGTAACTATAGGGTACATATTTATTTTTATAACAATAAAAAAATTAAAAAAAAAAAAAAACAATAAATGCATTCAGTGGCATTGAGAGTAGGAGGATATTGGAAAATCCTTAGTGAAGTTTACAGTATGGAGTAGTACTATCATTTGATGATGAATGATATAACAAAAATGTATAATATCAAAAGCTTATCGAGCATCTGACTGTTTTTGGGATGGGAATTGGAATAGGAGGGTTTTGAATGTGGATATGGATGGGGAATGTCGAATGTTGATAGGAAGGGAATTCCAGAAATTGACAACGCGAGCATTAACGAAATTTTGAAATGTGGCAGACCTGTGAGTAACAATTATATGAGCCGTTTATTTTGAAAGTGGCCTACCTCCATTTCTATAATATATCTTCGAATCGAGATATTTAAGGGTTTGCGTTTCAATGAATTTAAAAATATACGTATTGGATACTAATGAGTCATACTGCTTGAGTATATCTAAGGGTGTTAAATTTATGGTTCCTATTACAATAGTAACAACTATTAAGTGAATAATGAGCGTTTTCTTATCAAGAATGGAGTTAGGCCACTTTTAAAATTAACAACCAGATTCATTATAAAATTTGAAGGTATCCAAGTCCATTTAACATAATTTAAGATGCTTCAAATTGAAAAATACAAAACTCAATTTATTTTACATATCTTTAAAACACTTCGGAAACACAATTTATGCGATTCAAAACATTTTTCAATTACAGAACATACAAAATTACAAACATTTTATTAATAAACAATTTACTATTCATCTACATTTTGCGCATGTGAAAGGGATTTGAAGTAGTCATGATGTTCCGGTGGTATATATCGCAATAGGTCAATCATGTCCTTAAATTTTGTTGTAATTTGTCTGATATTTTTATAGAGTGGTGTCAATTCAATATTTTCCAATTTTGTTGGTCTACCCCGACGTGGTAATAAATTCAGGACTTTGAAATTTTCATTCTTATTCATTGTTGACTTATAGAAAATTTTATACGATTCATTTATGATAAAACGCATCCAAATTATTTGTAACCGGTTTACTGATTCTCCATCAGAATTCTTTATCCATATAATTTTTTTCATACAAAATCTTTTTGTCTCATTTCATTTACAATAAAATTATCAAATAAAATTTTCATTTCCAACATTATCAATAGTAAATATCTTGATGTAAGTATAAAATAAATGCAGTTAGGCCATTTTCAAACTACACGGTTCAGTTATTGAACTAATTCTGAAAACTTATGTGTCAAAGGTTTATCGTATTTGCTCGGAGTATAAGCAACCTGAAATGTTGTACTGATATGTAGTATGAAGTTGTACATGTAACCAAGGTAACCGGCAAAAAATTGAAAAACGGAGATAGGCCATTTTCAAAATAAATGGCACATATTGTTTCCTACATTTTTTCAAAATCATAAAAATGTCACGAACTTCTGCAGTAACCGATTTGATCTAATTAAATTTAATTATATAGAACATCTTCTCCCGTATATTTCTATTGTTATTCAATACTTATTTTACATTCGATTTATTTGGAAATTATAACGATTTCCATATTAATATTGTTACACTTTTTTTTTTTAACCAAATACTATAAATCCCTTCACTAGTTCTCATTAACCGGCTGAAACTAATGGCTCGAACAGAGGCAGCCAAAGGGCATAGGCTGATAAATGCCTACATCGCACTAAACAACACCGCAAGGGCCTAGCCAGAACTAGCCACACCACAAAACCACAAACGGGTAATTCTGGTCCTCTACATCTGTCAGTAGCCTGCTTGTCTGTCACTCTACTCAATGCTATATGGATCCAATGCCTAGCTCATTCGGATTATTCAATCCCATATAGTGAGCTATTTGATCAACGGCAGAGCAGAGGTTTGCTCCACCCTAATGCAAGAGTTTTCTTTGTACGTCCATTCCTTTCCCCTATAATATAAATTCTTATTATTTTTTTGCCCAAATTACCTAGGAATCAGTCATAGAAATCCTACCATTAGTAAATAGAAGACTATTTAAAAAATAAAATAAAAATAATGTCTGAAAATTGTGGTAAAATTAGTGGGAGGAAAACTAAAAAAAAAATAAAGAAAAAACAAAGTATATGACAATAAGCCGAAAATTTCACATTCAGTAGAAGAAAAATCATTCCCGAGAGTAAAAAGATTAGAATACCTCTGCTCCACAATAACCTGAAGGAATGACCAACGGCCAGAAATAGGCCAGTGTATAACTGGCGTAATTTATTGAAAGATTTGAGAGAAAAATCCTCCGCAGGATAACCGGAGCGATCTGAGATCAGAGTAATGATACATGGTGAAGAAAAATCAATAAAGAAATGCTTACAGAAACTGGTCAATCTGTATCCCTTGATATGAAGGCACGGAAGTTAAGATGAGCGGAGTATATAGCTCGTAGCATTCCAACTGGACGCATCTACGTAACAATGAATGGCTCAATAAAAGGTAAAAGACCACGCGGAGGGCCAAAAAGTATATGGATAGATAGAATCAACCAAGATGCAATGGAGCTGCGTGCAGATAATTGGAAATAAATTGGCAGAGATGAAGCAGGTTTGCTAAGACGACAATATATCTACATGGTCTATAGTGGCAACAGAAAAAATAATAATAATAAAGTAAGCTCAAGGAAAGACAATTAATTTTGGTTGATTGCTTACAATAATGAACCATTGTAACCGACCCATACTCAAAAAGTTAACATCCCTTAAAAAGTTAAATTTAAAGATGACGTTCAAAAAAACTCTGTGTTTGTATAGACTGTAGTGCCTAAATAATTGAACCAATTTCAATAAATCTTGGCTAAAGTCATCTTCTTAATACCTGTTAAATTTATGTGTAGAACATGTACATGTTCATGTACATTTAGGTAAAAAAAAAAAGAAAGTATACAAATCAAAAAAATATTTATATATTATTTCTTAATATTTATATATTTTTTCTGTATGCCATATTTTCATCAATTTCATTCAACTTATTCAACAAATCCAATGATTGAGTCATTACTTTGAAGATTATCATTCTTTTTACATATCTCCCAGAAAAATCACGAAAAAGTGACAAAATGAAATTTTATTTATCTATAACTGAAAAAAGTATGTAACAAATGGTATTATGTATGATATATAACTATGGTACCTCTAATAATCTATAAACAAAATAAAATAATGATAAAAAAAAATCATTGAAATCGAACCATTTTCAGAAAAAGATACACCGTATTGCGATTTTGTTACACATATCATGGGTTTATTTATTATATTTTTCATTGTAAAAAGATCAATATATTATGTGAATTATTTGTCGGGCGATCAGGTGAAAAATAAATTAGAATGGATCAAATATTTGTTAAATGAAGGAAGAGTATTACATTGAAGAGAGTTAAAAGGAATAGTAAAATTTTAAAAAATAAAATAAAATAAAATAATGATATAAAATATATATATAATATATATATATATATATATATATATATATATATATATATATATATATATATATATATATATATATATATAATATATATATATATATATATATATATATAAAGTGGTTAATTATGTATGAATAATAATAAAAATAAAATCTAAGACATGAATTATTGTATAGAAATACACACACACACACACACACACACACACAAGATATATACATACACACACACTAGTGTTGCCCAAATGCGAGACCAAGACGAGTCTTGGTCTTGCAAAATCAGTCTTGGTTATGGTCTTGGTCTTGCGCAAGACTCTCGCTACAGTCTTGCAGTTACTTATTAGCTATTAATATAGATATATTACTGTATTTTTTAAGATTGGAGAAACCTAACTAAGCCCGAATTAAAAATTAGATGAATTAAATGCAAAAGTATATTGGTTGTACCAATTATAAACATATAGTAACTAAGATTGTCAAGTATTAGTAACCATTTTGCCGTAATTTTTATTTAAAAAATCGATTTTGTTTACTAGTCCTGGTCTTGGTCTTGCAACAGTTAGGCGGCCTTGGTCTTGATCATGCAAAGTGCAAGACTAAGACCGATTTTGGGTAACACTAACACACAATAATTTTAGGATACCGTATCGCTATAAGAATCATACAAATAACGGCCGAATGAGTTATTCACTAGCATAGAATGTACAAAATGAATATGTATAGCTAAAAATTATTAAGTAATTCATATATTATTTAATTATACTTCGTTTCTCACTTTGTTGATTAAAATACGAAATTAAATTGATATCCTATTTCTAAAATCTTTTCTATTAAACGGCGAAAAAAAATCGAATTGAAAATTGTTTAAAAATATACTCTATTAATCTTGTATTTAGAAAAAAAATATCTTCGGCTTCAGCTCACTGATAAATTGAAATAAAAAAACACTTTAAAATTATGATGTCAAAATCAGCCCTTTTCCGGGGTAATTGAAAATGGCCAATGCCTTGGGAATTCTCTTTTAAAATAAATCATATTTCTTTCTAGCTGTTAAAATGAAGTGCTGTAACGTTTCGAAACATAAATATTAAAGGTTTTTTTTTTTTAAATATTAAATGTAAGGTTATAATTGAAAAACTGTCATCAAAAATAGTCTTGCGTCTCAAATCCAAAATCATATCACTCAATGACATCCAACCGCATAATGGAAAAAAGGTAAGGTACAATTTAGGATGGTTATATTCAAAGAGCTTACCATCAAACAAATGACAGATTAAAAAGCATGTAACTATCAAACCAAAAATAAATGAAGACGTAACAAAAATTACAAATTATAATATCTGATATTTTATATAAAAGATAATTTTTTCATTTTTTTTTTCTAAAAAAAATAAAGCATGTTTAAATGAATTCAATTTTTATTTAATTAAATTTTAGTATTACAGAAAAAGAAGATCAGTTCTGAATGAAAGCTATTTATATTGCGTAGAAATTAAATATTGTTATTAATTATAATATTGACAATAGAAATTTAAATAAATTTTATTCTGAAAAACATCTTGGATAAGTCCAATAAATCTAGTTAATTTGTTCTATGTTTAACTTTGTCTGTGTACATTTGGTAAGAACAATACCATCACTCTTTAACAGATTAGTACTACAAAACACTATTTAAAAACATTTCACTCAGACCATGGTTTTTAATAAAATAATCTGAATAAAGAGGAAATAAAAATACACTGTAGATTGAGATCAAATCAAGGAATGTGCAATTTTCACCGTATAGGAGTTCTGAATTCGGTCCAATGTGAAAATTCTTTAAATCATGGTACACTATATCATAATGGAATGTGAGGCTTACGAATCTCACAGAAGAAAATTTTCCCATTTCCTAAACAATAGTGACATTACATTTATCAAATACTGTCTCTGAACAGATAAAGAACGTAGTAAAATATTTTAAAGCAATTATGAAATATATTTAGTTTCATTTGACCTTAAAACTTCAACTTAAATTTCTAGCTTGCTGCATGGATTTATTCGATACCACTAATAAAATTAAAAACAAAAATGTTTACTTGATCAGCTGTTTGATAACTTTTTTTTATGTGCATTTCAATTTTCCCTTTTATTATTTTTAGTTTCGTGGCATACTTATGTATTTTGGTTAGGTATTATATGTTTTTTATCTTTTTTTTTTTGTGATCAGCTGTTTGATTATAAACATTCTCAGCTGTTTTATAATCATTATAACCTTTCTGATTCTAACCATTACCTTACATTTCTTCCAGTATACAATAGGATATTATCGAATGATCTGATCTTGGGTACGTTTTAATTTCCATCCACGTGATGCCTGCATTTTAGAGTAACGATTCTGTTGT